TTGTATTTAAGTCTTTAATGTATTTTGAATTGATTTTTATATAAGTTGTAAGATGAAGTATTCTTTTCATTCTTCTGCCTGTAGATATGCAGTTTTCCCAAAAGAATTTATTGAAGATCATTTCATTTAATGAATGTTTGCTTTTGGCACCTTTGCCTTAAATAACCAAAAATGCATGGATTTATTTATGGGCTGTATATTCTATTCCACTGGCCTATATATCTTTTAAGATTTCAGCACCATGCAATTTTTTTTGGACAGGCAGAATGGACAGTGAGAGAGAGAGGCAGAGAGAAAGGTCTTCCTTTTCCGTTGGTTCACCCCACAATGGCTGCTGTGGCCGGCGCGCTGCGGCTGGCGCATCACGCTGATCTGAAGCCAGGAGCCAGGTGCTTCTCCTGGTCTCCCATGGGGTGCAGGGCCCAAGCACTTGGGCCATCCTCCACTGCACTCCCGGGCCACAGCAGAGAGCTGGCCTGGAAGAGGAGCAACTGGGACTAGAGCTGGTGCCCATATGGGATGCCGGTGCCACAGGTGGAGGATTAACCAAGTGAGCCACGGAGCCGGCCCCTCATTATGTTCTTTAGCTCTAGAAGTTTAGTTTAGTTCTTTCAAAAAACAAAAAAACCAAAAAAACAGTTTCTGTCTGTGTGTTAAGCTTCTAATTTTGTATACTTTTCCCTGAATTCATTTATCTGTCCATCTCTTATAGTACACTGAAATTTTATAAGTTGATTACGTTAATTCTTGGTTATACAGTTTGTAAATCTCCATTTATTTAGGAATATTTACTGACATTTTACTTTTTTTCTTTGCTGGTGTGATGACTCCCTGATTTTTTGTGATCCTGTGATCGTACATTCTAGTCTGCATATTTGAAGAAGTGGTCATATATTTCCATTTCTAGGGACTAGTTTCAGGAGGGAAACCCTTCAACAGTTAGCCCACCTGAGATTCTGTCCAGGCCAACTGCCATGGTTCATGGATGTAATTGCTATTGGGGTCCTTAGGCAGGCTGGCTTGGTATCTGGGTCAGCAGGTGGCTAGGACTGGTGACTGAATTCAAGAGGATGTCCCTAGATGCTGGGTCCAATGGTGTTGAATCGGGAGTTTGAGCTTGCTTGGATAGGCCTGTATCCTGGCCTGTCCAGCCTGCAGCTGGTCCGGAATCCATGATAAATGGAAATGAAGGCTGGGTCCTCCAGAGTAGACCTGAAGTTTGGGTTTATGAGGCACCTTAAGTGCACATCTCTAGTGGCTGGCCTGAAGCCTGAGTATAAAGGAGAGACCTGGCATTGGAGCAAATAGTCACTGAGTGGGATGTATTCCAGGAATGTAAGAGTGGTTCATCATAAGAAAATCAATTAATGGGGCCAGCGCTGTGGCATAGCGGGTAAAGCCGCCACCTGCAGTGCCAGCATCCCTAAGGCTGCTAATTCGAGTCCCGACTGCTCCACTTCTGATCCAGCTCTCTGTTATGGCCTGGGAAAGCAGTAGAAGATGGCCCAAGATGGCCTCTGCACCCACATGAGATACCTGGAAGAAGCTCCTGGCTCCTGACTTTGGATCAGCACAGCGCCAGCTGTTGAGGCCAACTTGGGAGTGAACCAGTGGATGGAAGACCTCTCTCTCTCTGCCTTTCCTCTCTCTGTCAAACTGTGACTTTCAAGTAGAATAAATAAATCTTTAAAAAAAGAAAGTAAATCAATTTATGTAATATTAATGAAATGAAGTGGGGGAAAACATGATAACTTTCAGATGCAGAAAAAAATCATTTGACCAAATTAAACACCCTTTTAGTACTAAAACTAGAAATATATGGAAACTTCCTTAATATGATAAAAGATATTAATAAGAAAAAACCCACAGTGGATATTAGACTCAATGGTGAAACATTGAATACTTTGCTTTAAATATCACAAACATACAAAAAAAGTCCATTTTCATCATAGTGCTGGAAGTCCTAGCCAGAGAAATTAAACACATAAATTTGAATCTAGTACTGGTAGTCCTAGCCAGAGAAATTAAGCAAAAAAGGAAATGAAAACAGGGCAGAGGTAAGTAAAACTATTTTTATTTGCAGATGACATGACTCTACATGTGGAAAATCCTATAAAGTCAATGAAAAATCTACTAGAACTAATAAATAAATCACCGAAGTTAAAGCAGACCAACATGAAAAAAGCTATTGTGTATCTGTGTACCAGCAATGAGCAGTCTGAAAATGAAGTTAAGAAAAGATTTCATTTACAGTTATACATAAAAAATGCCTAGGAATAAATTTATCCAAGGAGGTAGAGATTTATACACTGAAAACTATAAATATGGCTGGCAAAAATTAAAGAATACCTAAATAATGAAAGACATCCTGTAATGAGATATTACACTCATTACCTTAATGTGAAGAAAAGAAAAATAAGGTGTTGGTGAGGATGTGGATAAATAAGGCCACTTACATTACTGGTGGGAATATAGAATTGTGTAGCTGCTATGAAGAACAGGTGGTTTCTCCAAAAAACAGAATTATCATATGACTGAAAAATTCCACTCCTTGGTTTATATCCAAGGGAAAAGAAACCACATGTCCACACAGAAACTTGTATATGAACGTGTATAGTAGTGTTATTAATAATAATCAAAGAGGGAAATAGCCCAAATATCCAACAGTGGATGATGACTGGGTAAACAAATTGTGGTATACACATGTGGTGGTACATTCATTCCTAAAAGGGGACCAAATGCTGATACATACTACTACTTGAATGAACCACGAAAACATTATGCTAAGTAAATGAAGCCAGACACTAAGGGTTACATATTGTATAACTCCTTTTATATGCTATATCCAAAATATTCAAAACCATAGACACAGAGAGTAGATTTGTAGTTTCCAGGAGCCAAGAGGGGAAAGGCATAGAGTGGATTCTTTATGAATATGAGGTGTTTTTCTAGAGTGATGCAGAGGTGGCAGTTTCAGAACAATGCCAAATGCCATTGAATTGTACCCTACAAACTTAATTGTACGTATGAGAATTTTACCTTAATAAAAAAGGACATATAATTTAGCAGATGCTGGTGCCATTCTTGAAGTATGATAGAAAGGAACAAAAATTTGAAAGCTTTGAAAGGAAAATCCTCTGAAATGAAACAATAATCAGATTTGTCATCTCAATCCTGGAGACTTGAAGATGGTGAAATGACACCCATATACTACTTGACGAAAAGGATACCAATACACACATACTTGCATTGCAGCCTTGAGGTCATCTACTGGCAGGACAAGAGAAACAGTTGTGTTTTTCTGGAGTGATGAATCACCCCCTCCCCTAAACTACAACTGTTCTATCACATCGTTCTAAGTGTCTGTCAGGGTTCTTAGTTCCATGCAACTAATTAGAATTATCAGACTCCCACAAACCATAGAGGGATCAAGATGACCAGACTTTGAGACTACTCATCCGGGAACCACACTCTAAGTCATACCACCAGGGTTGGTGTAGTTGAAGCTGGCATGTGACTCCTGGGGTAGACATCACAGTCGCACCCCTATACCACTTACTATGGACACTTGTCCTGCCTCAGAACTGCGGGCACACTTGCCTCAGATGACTGGATATGCTCATTGCCACAATACTACTGCCACTGGCATAGATCTTGTAGTCCTCCTATCTTCATGTAACAGGCTTATATTTGAAAGTGTGGGGCAGGCCGTTGCCGTGGCTCAATAGGCTAATCTTCCACCTTGCGGCGCCGGCACACCGGGTTCTAGTCCCAGTCGGGGTGCCGGATTCTTTCCCGGTTGCCCCTCTTCCAGGCCAGCTCTCTGCTGTGGCCCGGGAGTGCAGTGGAGGATGGCCCAAGTGCTTGGGCCCTGCACCCCATGGGAGACCAGGAGAAGCACCTGGCTCCTGCCATTGGATCAGCATGGTGCGCCGGCTGCAGCGCGGCGGCCATTGGAGTGTGAACCAACGGCAAAGGAAGACCTTTCTCTCTGTCTCTCTCTCTCACTGTCCCCTCTGCCTGTCAAAAAAAAAAAAAAAAGTGTGGGGTAGGTGTGTCTGATTGGAGAAGCCTAGGTCATGTGCTGTCCCAGTTACAAAGGAAGCTGGGAAAGTGTGTATATGGAATTTTTAGCTTCTATAGTGGGACATAGGTTCTGACTCACAAGGTAGGAAATTCTGTTTGCAAGGTAGAAGATTCTCCTGTTTACGGGAAGAAAGTTCCAGTGCCAGGTGATAGTTGTGAAGTCTGTGCCACATCCTTCTTACTTTCTGCACTGCACTTCTGATTCTCTTAGATCTGGCTCGCGTGCTCTTTCTGCAGTCTCATTAAGGGGGAAGCTCCAGGAGGGCGGAGACCTGGCCTGCTTGCTCCTCGCTGTAGCCCAGCAGCCTCAGGAGTACCTTGCTCACTCAACATATATTGACTAAAGCTGGGCTGAGAGCCCAGAAGGGTAAAACTTTGTACCAAACAAGAAGAGTAGAGAATTACTCACGCGTCAAGTGCCTGGTTTGATGATTAGAAGATTATTAGTGTAAGAATCGGGAGCAGTTTCAGAGGGATGATGGACCAAAAGTCACACCACAGTGAAGTGTGGAAAACTGGTGGCAACAGGGAGAGCAGAAATGGTTGTTTTCAGTGGACACAAACAGGCAGGAAAGTCAGGTTAGTTATCATCTTTCCTGCTTTCCATTTCTTTTCCCTGGAATTAGATCAAGGATCGTGTTGGGTGCGGGCACCAAAAGAAGGGAAGAGCAGGAGTCTGGGAGGGTGGCAGACACGTGCTTGAATCCAAGCGGCTGTGTTCTGGGCCAGACCAAGGCCTAGGAAGCTACCTCTGCAGCGTGTCTCCTTGTCTGTAAATATGGATTCATTCTCTTTTGGTAAATATCAAGTTAATGTGATTAGCAGATGGGCAGCACCCATATATATATATAGCAGATGCAGCACCCTGCTTATTCTACCCTCTTCCTCCCCTAACTGTAGCTCTTCCTTTCCAGGATTCCAGGCTGTCAAGGACCCCAGCTCTTCTTGCACACTGAACAGCACCATGGGGGGATCTGCCCAGCTGCCGCTGAACTCCTCCTTGGGCCCCGCCATCCGAGAGATTGAGTGGACTTGGTACTGTGGGGATATGCAGAGGCTGCTTCTGGTGTCCTGGAAGCCTGGTAGCCCTAATCCTGAATGGTATGAACTAGAAGACAAATACAAGCGCAGATTCAGCCTGACGGAGCTGGCTTTCTTGAGCATCACAAACCTCACTATGGAGATGAGTGGGCTGTATACAGCAGAAGTCAAATTCCGCTCAGGACAATCCAAGCAGGAGGCCTTTAGGCTTTGTGTATACGGTAAGACGTGCGTCCATGCCCAACCCAGCAGTCCAACTACCACCGTTCTAAAGTGAGCTAGCCTAAACTGATTTCCTCTAATGGTGTGAAGTTCACTTAATGGATGTGTGTAAGTGTAGGCTTTCTGTGATGCCAAAAAAGGAGAAAATACAGGTGGTGAAGAAGACTTATTTAAAATTCCTAACAAAATAAATAAATTAGCCCAAAATCAGGTAAAGGAGCCAACCCCCTTGTAGGAGTTTTTGCATCTCTTCTGATGCTCTAAAAATAAAAGCTAAATTTTGAAGGTACATATTTTAGCAAAAACTAGCTAAACTTTCTTAAAATGTATAATTAAAAGGGCATGAAAATGGGGAAGCAGAGCAACCCCAACCCAAAAGGATAAAGCATTGTTCAATCATACAATGTTGTAATGTTGATTATTAGAAATGCAAAATATCATAAATACAATTAATTGGTTGGTTCAAAACTAGGTTTAAAACTTCTTAAATCTCCATCAGAAGTGGGTAAGAGAGAATGAAAGGACTAGATATTGACAAAGGTGAAGGAAAAACACTAAGTAGGAGATTGACCATTGGAACTGGTCATCAGGTGAAATGCTTTTAGACAAATTGATCTGAAGTTCAGTTGGAGAATTCTCAGCACAAAACTCTGTCCTGGACCCAAGTTGAAGAGGCAGAAGGCGACCCAGCCCCTGGCCCTTGGCTTTCCCTGACCAGTGAGTAAACTGACGTCCTCCAGCAGGAAGCAGGGAGCCCTGGGGAGACAGTGCAGTGGAGAAGGTGGGAGAAGAGAGAGCAGAGTGTGTGTGTGTGTGTGTGTGTGTGTGTGTGTGTGTTGCGGGGTGGCGGGGGGGGGGGATGGAGGTATCCAGCCTCCTGGAGCACTAGTCCATCACCTTGCACCGATTATCGCAGAAGCCTTCTACCTGGCCTCCCTGCTTCTGGCCTCTTCCTCTTTTCAAATCATCCTCCCACAGCTGCTCTTTTGATCTTTGAAAGACGCGATTCTCATTGTAGTCCTGCTCAAAAGGAAACAGTACTGCCTACCCCCTTTCCTGGCAATCAGTGACACTCAGGAAAAGGAGCTCAACCCCACTCCCCATAGGGTCTGATTCCTGGCTGCTGCTCCGGCCTCCTCTCCGGCACACTTCTCCCATGCGCCGTGCTCTGAATCTGCTAGCCTTCCCCTCACCCACCTGGCCCTTTCTCCTCTTTGCTGTGTGCTGGTGGTTTTCCAGGGAATACCCATCTCCCACCTCTCCCCTGCACAACCCACAATTCCTCACCTGGTGTGGGTTGGGGAGGGATGAGGGACTTTAACATGGGATGTGGGAAAACTTGTAACAAGAGCCTGTGTGGACTGGGTTGAGTGTCCAAATTGAGGGTGGAGAATATGCCAGTTGCCTCCCTGGCCTCCAGCTTTTCATTCTTGATCTTATTCTTTCTCTTGTTCTTCTTGACTGATAAATTCATGGCTTAGCTTTTACAGTAACATCAAACAGTTTTATCACTTTTTTTTTGGGAATCAAGACATGGAAATATCAAATTAGGTTGATAAAGACAGTTTACAGTATCAAGATACACAGATCTCCTGGGGCAGAGATCAGTAAGGAGTTTTGGTCCTCTTGCTTGCTGGATTGAGGAAGCTGATGCGTACTCTCCTCTCTCTGGTGGGACCAGATAGTCTCAAATTCATTCTCTCTCTCTCTCTCTCTCTCTCATCAGCTTTGCTCCCTTAGGCTTCCCATGCAGTCCTTTGGCAGCTTTGGGTCCCGTCCACCCAGAGAACAAAGGGACTTTCTTCACCCACTCCACCCAGGGGCCTTTCCAGGCCTCTCAGGCTTAGGCCCCTTGCTCACCCTCTCAGGGGAACAGCGTATTCTGACTGGCGAGACCTGAGCCTTCTGCTCTCCCCCATTACCAGAGTCAGAGTGTGTGATTGACAATCATGCAAAACACAAGGTTGGAGCAGAGGAGAAGGTACCAGAAAAAATAGAAGTACCATCAGCTGGTTTCCTTCCATTCTCCTTTTCATTCCCTGACAATCCACCAGTGCCCAATGAAATCTTCCAGCAGCACCTGCCCACTCCCTGTCCCTGTAGAACTAACCGCTCCTCTCAGCACTCGATCCCATCTTCTGCTGTTTCTAGGCAAACAGTGTTCATCATATCAAAGCCTTGTCCAGGTGCTGTTTCTCCCTTAACTCTTGGCTTTCAGAACTAACTGTCCTAAATAATGATGATCTCATCTTTCTTCTCTCAGAATGAGCCTTTCCATTTCAAACTCTCAAGATTCTTTGAAAACATTTTTTTTTCTAGAGCTTGATTCTCTCTGCCTTGCACTGGAGCCACCCGTGTGGTCAGTTCTCGCCTGTAGGGTAGGATTTGCCCTCTGCCCTCTTTGGCATGTACTGTTCATTACACAGCTCCAGTGGGCATTCTGAAAATATTCCATCAGCCAAATAAATTTAAGCAATATTGAAAGGAGTCCTACAGAAGCATACTCAATTTTTCTAGGCTTTTTCCTACTGAAACTTGATTCATAGTCCTTCACCCATTGAGAAGTATATATAATAAAATTCATATAAACCAATTGCTGAGTGAATATTTTTAATGCCTAAGAGCATGAACTATCAAAACACTCCACTATGATTCATACCATTTTCTAATAGAGATTCCACTTAGTTTTATATTTAAATTATTACCTTTTCATTAAAGTAAAATCCTTTGAAGAAGCTACTTAAAAATATTTCTACCAGGTTTATATTCATTGAGTCTTGGGAAGGGCCTGAGAAATTTTTTTTAAAGATTTATTTATTTATTTGAAGGGTGGCATTAGAGAGGTAGAGGCAGAGAGAGAGGTCTTCCATTTACTGGTTCACTCCCTAGGTGACTGCAACAGCCAGAGCTGTGCTGATCAGGAGCCAAGAGCCAGGAGCTTCTTATGGGTCTCCCACGTGGGTGCAGGGGCCCAAGAACTTGAGCCATCTTCTGCTGCTTTCCCAGGCCATAGCAGAGAGCTGGATCAGAAGTAGAGCAGCTGAGACTTGAACAAGTGCCCACATGGGATGCTACTGCAGGCAGCGGCTTTATCTGCTACACCACAGTGTTGGCTCAGAGAATTTGTTTTTAATAACTGTCCTAAATCAGTGATTGACAAATTATGGCCATGGGCCAAATTCAGCCCAATGCTTGTTTTTGTAAATAAGGTTTCACTGGAATATAGCCACATCCGTTCACTTCCATATTGTATTTGATGTGTCCTGTGATCCTATACCTTCTGTAACTTAAATTATTTACCCTGTGGACCTTTATGGAAAAATTGGCCTCTCCCTGCCCTTGCTGCTCCTGGTGACACATCTGACCCTTGCAATGCCATAGGGTTGTAATGAAGATTAAATGAGTTCATAGGAAGACCTTGGAGCTGGGCCTGGAAATTTATCCCTGCTCAATCAATGCTAGCTATTGTTGTCTTTTCATTTGCTAATGGAGTAAGTGACGTTGATAAATTTCCTAATTATAATAGTTCATGTTCCCATAATAAACCAAACTCGATTGTGATGGATTGTGAGATTATATTTGCTGACACTTAATCTAGGGATTTAAAGTTTTCTATTTATACTGACATTAATCCATAGACTTGCAAGTGTGTTTCTCTTGCTCTGTTTTGTTTTTGGCATTCTCCCTATCTGATGTGAGTCTTAAATTATACTTTCATATTGATCTGAGGATCTGGAACAGTGTATGGAACACAAATTTTTATTTTCCTTGGCTATTTGGTAGCACTCACTGTAAAACCTTTCTAATTTCTTCTGAGGCTGTGATGATGGGTTTGTTCAGGTTTACTGCCTCCTCTTAATTGAATTTATATTGTTTATACCTTCCTGGAAAAGCACTGTTGATTTACATTTTCAAATCTGTGATGTACATTTGTACATGGCATTTTCTTAAACTTTTAAATAATATCTTCTGTATCTTTAGCTATATCTCAATTCTCATTCCTAATGTCATTTACTTAGGACTTTCATTTTTTAGTCATATCTATCAGTATTTTTTCTTTTAATTGATACTTTAAGAAAATCAATTTTTGGTTTTTCCGATTGAATGTCTCCTTTTTAATTGCTTCTATGTGCACAAATTACGAAAATGTTTGACTGCACTGAACATAAGACTTGATTTTCAAAGACCGAAATGAGGGGGTTTATTTTTCTCCTGTCCGAGAAGTCTGGGCGGAACATTTGCCAGTGCTGGTGCAGCTGCTCAGCTTCATCACTGGGGACCTGGGCTCGCTCTTTCTTTCTGCTCTGTCGTCCTTGCAAAGGTTCTGACCATCATGCTTGTTGCCTCATGGCCCCAAGGTGGCTGCTACTCCAGACAGCACCCACAGTCGTGACAGCAAGGGAGGAGGACAATTGGACAGATCTTTCTTGCTTTGAGGCTTTGTCTTTTCAGGAGCAAACACTTTTCTTCCCACCCAGAAGATTCTGTCTTGCTTTGCTGGTCAGAATTTCCGCCACAGGAAAGACTGAGAAATGGAGAACCTCGCTGTCCAGACTGCAGAGCAGAGAAGTCAATGGCAGAGCGGGACTGGCAGTGAGTGTGCAGGGAGCTGCCTCCTTGCGTGGCCTCCTGGCCATTCAGATCTGTTTGCACCTGTTACCCATCCTCCACTCTGGTCTGTTCATACCTGTCCTTCCTAAAACAGTGCATTTGGTAAGTTGTCCTTGAACTTCCAGGGAGTCTTGTTCCATTTTAATTTGCAGCACTTTGTACACTTCCAAGAAGTGTTATCAGTTGTTAGGTCTATAGGGAATCTCTGTCTCACTTGCTCTTTTTAATCTTAAATTTTATTTTGTCTGTAGTAACTATTTTGATATTTGCAGTAATCTCATGGACATTTTCCCAGTCTGTCTTTTCCCCTCTTTCTTTTTAGTCTTTCTGTGTCATTAGGTAATGAAAATAGCACACATTGGATTTACATAATCTGAGAGTCTTGGCCTTTTAATGGGGGGATTTAATACATTAAAATATACTTCATTTTTGTTTTAGGTATATGGACCTATTGCTTACATCTTATTTAATCTTTCTGTATATCATTGTTTGTTTTTCTTCCACTGCTTTGTGGGGTTCATAGAATTTTCTTTGATTCAAACTTCTCTAGTAGTCTGGAAGTTATAAAACCTTAGATTTTCATCCTTCTGATTACTAAACAAATTTTTACTGCAATATTTCAAGATACTCATTATTTTTTCTTCCTTTGAGTGCAACAAGAAGTTGAACACATTTTTTTCATCATAATCTCAATCTCTCTCATGTTCTGGTCATTATATACACATGCAATTATATAAATATGTGAACACACATAGATACACAAGGGTACTCCAACAAGTTTGTGGAAAATGGAATTAAATTGATAGATTTATTTTAGTGAAAAATATTTGGAATTCATACATAATTTTTCATAGTAGGTTATTCATACAACTTTTTGAAATAATATTTGGGGGCTGGCGCTGTGGCGCAGCGAGTTAAAGCCCCAGCCTGCAGTGCTGGCATCCCATATGGGTGCCGATTCAAGTCCTGGCTGCTCCACTTCTGATCTAGCTCTCTGCTATGGCCTGGGAAAGCAGCAGCAGATGGCTCAAGTCCTTGGGCCCCTGCATCCTCATGAGAGACCCAGAGGAAGTTGCTGGCTCCTGGCTTCGGATCAGCTCAGCTCCAGCCATTGTAGTCATCTGGGGAATAAACCAGCAGATGGAAGACCTCTCTCTCTCTCGCTCTACCTCTCTCACTCTACTTCTTTCTGTAACTCTTTCAAATAAATAAAATAAATCTTTAGAAAAAAAGAAATAATATTTGATACATTATATTTATCATATCATGATTATTTTTACTTAACTGTAAATCTCATTGATTTCTTTGATTAGTGCTATACCTTATTGTTTCTCATTTTTGAAGTCATTTTTTCCTGCACATTCCTGAATTTCTTTTAGAGGCAATTAGCATCCTAAGCACTCACATGTGTTAAGTGTCTTAGTTTTGCCCCTTTAGTTAAAGGCTGGGTGGGAGATCATAGATCATAGAAATCATAGAAATTCTCCATGACTTGGAGGAGTTATGGGAAAGCAGTGAGGGGCCAAGGCAACTTGGGGAAGTCGAGGAAGTGAGTCTCACCTTGCTCTGTGGAGTAGATGGACAGTGAGATGCTCCAGGTCCCTTCCTGAGTCGGGGAAGAACCTCAACCATCTGCCCCTGGGTGGGGAGTGAAAACCCACTGGTCCAGGAGATGGGGCAGGCTCTGTCCCCAGACCTGACCTTAAGACAATGGGCAACCTCCCTTGGCTGCATCACGTGGGGGAGAGTGATCGATAGACTCCGGTGAACCTGCAGTCCTGAAGCTCAGTTTCTCTTTTGTCTTTCTTCCCCCAGAGCCCGTCCCACATCCCCAAATCCTGATTCATTCGTCATCTAACACATCAGGCTGGTGCAATGTCACCCTGGAGTGTGGGACCCCAGGGGCCAGAGAAGACCTCACTGTGACCTGGATGAGCAAAGACTCCTACGTGGAGCTGGAGCAGAGAGGGACACTGGGGTCAGCCCCCAACTCCAGGAATCTAAGCCTGAGTTTGCCCATAAACCAGTTGAATGGCCATGGCACCTGTGTGGTCAGTAATCCTGTGGACCAGAAGAATGCCGTGTTAGACCTGAGCAGCATCTGTCAGTGGCATGGTGAGTGTGATCGACGAGCAAGGGTGATGCAAATCAGTGGCAGAGAATGCACGGAGAATGCGGGATGGGACTGAGTACATGGTAAGGAAGCTCCCACAGGGAAACCCAAGAGCCTGCACCTTGACGAATGATCGCATCCTTGCTGCAGTCTTCAAACCTACAAGTGCAGAAATTGTGCCAACATTGGGAGACTGCTGCATCACCCAGAGCATAAACATGGCACCAGGACATGGAGCACCCTGTTCCCAGCATCAAGAAGCCTGGGAGGCTGAATGAGCCATCAGAATCCAAAGGGGGATGAGACTTGAGGAACAAGGAGTGATGAGCTTCCGGGACTCCCCCAGCCCAGTCCTAGGATGCGCAGGGGCCCTCCCTGGATGGCCCAGGCAGGCAGATGGATGCCTGGCATGGCTGCTGCCCGCTGGGCACGCCCTTTCTGAGCTTGATCCTCCCCTTTGAATGCACAGGCCACACCCAGCCTGCTCTGAGCAGTGTGAGCTGTGGTGACCCTGTGCTCACCACCATCACTCAGGACCTCATGTCCCTCAGTCGGCCTCTGGGGTCAACTCGGCTGTGTCCAGGGTGGGTTAGGGTTGTGTGCTGAGCCTCCGGGCCTTCCTGCCATCAGATGCTTTTTCCCAGGAAGAACTGAAGCAACAAAGGAGGTCTCATCCGGTCGGCTGCTGTGCCCTGCCGGAGTCGTCCTGGGCTCCGCTTGCGCACATGGGGCTCTCATCTGAACAGTCTCCTCCTGGCCATTTCCACATGGATTCCTCCAGGGAGCGCACAACTTGCAAACCTCCCTGCATGCCTGCCATGTGCCTGAGGGGAGTGCAGTGAAAATGAAGACAAGTCTCTGCCCTCAAGGCACTTAGGGCAGCAGGGGCAATGCCAGCAATGTCTGTGTGGCCTTGGGCAAACCACTGAAGTTTTTGAGGCTTTCTGTTTAGAAGAGGGATGATAATTCCACCTACTTCATCAGGTTGTTAAAAGAATTAAGAGGAGTAGGGGGTAAAGCCGCCACTGTGATGCTGGCATCCCATATGAACTCCAGTTTGAGACCCAGCTGCTTCTCTTCTTCTTCTTCTTCTTCTTCTTCTTCTTCTTCTTCTTCTTCTTCTTCTTCTTCTTCTTCTTCTTCTTCTTCTTCTTCTTCTTCTCCTTCTCCTTCTCCTTCTCCTTCTTCTTCTTCTTCTTCTTCTTCTTCTTCTTCTTCTTCTTTTAAAAATATTTTATTTATCTATTTGAAAGTCAGAGTCACTCTGAAAGAGAAGGAGAGGCAGGGAGAGAGAGAGGTCTTCCATCCGATGGTTCATTCCCCAGTTGGCCACAATGGCAGGAGCTGTGAGGATCTGAAACCAGGAACCAGGAGCTTCCTCCAGGTCTTTTTATGCAGGTGCAGGGGCCCAATAACTTGAGCATCTTCTACTGCTTTCCCAGGCCATAGCACAGAGCTGGATTGGAAGTGGAGCGGGGGGTATTGAACCATTGCCCATAAGGGATGCCGGCACTGCAGGTGGTGGCTTTACCTGCTATGCCACAGCACCAGTCCTGCTTCAGTTCTGATCCAGCTCCCTGCTAACACACCTGGTAAAGCAGAAGATGGCCCAAGTCCTTGGACCCCTGCACTCATGTAGGAGACCTGGAAGAAACTCCTGGCTTCAGTCTGGCCCAGCCCTGGCTGTTGTGCCCGTTTGGGGAGTGACTTAGTGGATAGAAGACCTCTCTTTTTGTCTTTCTTTCTCTCTCTAACTCTGCCTTTCAAATAAATAAAATAAATCTTCAAAAAAATTAAAAGAGATAATCTATGAGGCTACTTCAAGTTCATGGAAAATGGAATTAAAAGATAAGTTTATCAGTGCAAAAATTTAAATACACCTGTAGTTATTTTCATAATACACATTTCTATGAAGTTTCAAAATTTTGGCATCAAAATCAATTTATCTTTTAATTAATTCCAATGAACTTTTTGAAGAATCTTCATATGTAAAGGGATAGCAGTATGACACATAATCTGTCCATAATGAGAATGTGGGTGAAGAGGAGGAATACATTTCTAAATATAAAGCCAGATGCTAAATGCTGAAGTCAAGGCAAATACCGAGTGTAGTTCAAGAAAATCAAAAGAATTTGAGAAACTGTTATTATAGGAGTTGGGACAGGTATCAAAGAAGCAGCATACCTGCATGGGGCCTTGAGGGGTGAATAGCAGTTTTTTTATGGCAGTAACAGGAAGACTGCCCAGAGAAAGCCACATGCAGATCCCCCCATCCTCTCCCGCTCTTGGAAGGTACTTTCCTCCCGGAGGCCTGAGTGGAGGAGAGGGAGGCAGACTGAGGGGTGGGCAGAGGCACCCTGCCAGTGGGGGTCTCCTGCGCAGAGATGGGACAGAAAGCCTGGCGGGAGAAACACTGCAGGTGCGGCCAGTGTGCAGAGACTGGAAGGAGCCAAGCCACCCAGGTTGCAGCAAGGTTGCAACAGGCCCTGAGCCAGAGTGGGCTCACTCCCCATCAGCCTGACAGGCCCGAGGGAGGCGGATCTGACACCTGCTTCTCTTTGACCCCAGGTTCTCTTCCGATCGAATGGCTGTGGAAAGTCATCCTTATCTTGGTTCTGATGGTGAGCATGGGGACTGGCGCGTGGGTCTGGAGGCGGAGGAAGATGGAGACCGAGAGAGGCAAGTGCTGGGGAGACTGAGGATGGTGGCCCTGCGGGAGGGCCTGTGGGTGGAGCAGCCCCGGAAGAAGGGACCGATAGGGCCTCACTCGCCTCTCCTGTGGATCTGCCCTGGTAGAAGCCTGGGGTAGAGCAGTGCCGAGGATGGGAGCTGTGTGAATGCCCAGAAGGTAAAGGCAGTGGGTGGCGGGAGCAGGGCAGGAGTGCAGGGCCTGTGCTTACACCCCGGGCACTCTGGCTGCCCCCGAGCTGGGCCCGAGCAGGGCTCACCTAGATTGCACCTTGTTGTTCAGCAGCTGCTGCCCGGGCCCTTCCCACAGGGGGCCAGGCCAACCTTCAGACCAGCGCCCTTGACTTTGTCTATGCGGAGATCAACCTCCTGAGTCCTCCAAAGGTGAGTCTGCAGGGATCCAATCAGTGAGGCTGGAGAGTGCCAGGGATCCAATCAGTGAGGCCAGAGAGTGCCAGGGATCCAATCAGTGAGGCCAGTGAGTGCCAGGGATCCAATCAGTGAGGCTGGAGAGTGCCAGGGATCCAATCAGTGAGGCCGGAGAGTGCCAGGGATCCAATCAGTGAGGCTGGAGAGTGCCAGGGATCCAATCAGTGAGGCCGGAGAGTGCCAGGGATCCAATCGGTGAGGCCGGATAGTGCTAGAAGGCTAGAAGCCAGGGGTGCCGGGAAATCCAGGCTGCTCTGCTCCACCGTCAGACTTGGGTCCCAACCTGGCCTTGCACTATATGGGCACCCACAGCACATTGGGAGCTGGGATACAAAGGGAGGACACCTCGCAGGTACATCTCGGCCACCACGACCTCGTCAGGGCTGGGGTGGGGGTAGAACAGGGCAGAGGAGGAGTGAGGCTGAGTGAGGTGAGTGACTGGCCCAAGACCACACAGCTCGGCTGGGGGTGGAAGTAGGCCAAGAAGCCTAGAGGGGCTTCCCACCCACGGGCTGAGACTCAGGCCACAGGCCAGGCAAGAGCGGAAGTGATCTTGGGTCTGCCCGCTGTCCAAGGCCTAAAGAAGTAAAGCCAGCGACCCCAGGGGTACCTGGAGGCAAGTGGATGCCAGGCTCTGAGGGGCATCCACCAAGTCCCTGTTCTTCCCACCCTCTAGCCCCTCTCCCTGACCTGCCTGAGTCTCACCATGAACGGTGCGTCAGCACCTCCCATGGGTGCTTGCCCTCTGATTGCACTGAAGGGCGAGGCTGGAGACAGGACCAGCGAGGCCAGGAGAGGGCACTGCAGGGGCTTCCTCAGTGGCAGTGGCTCTCCAACTTGGGCTCACGTCCGAATTGCCTAGAGGGCTTAGGAGAAGCTCGCTAGGCCCACTCAAGGGTCTAGGTTAGGCTTGGCATTTCCCATTTGTCCCAGATTCCCAGGGCATGCTGACCTTCCTGGCCTCACCTTGAAAAATTGTGAAATTGTGTCCACAAGTGGTTTTTAGAAAGACCATGAATAATATGTGTTATAAGAAACTGTGCTTAGCTTTCAAAATTGTTTGTTTCAAAATATCCTTTAATCCCATTGTCCATGAGCGTTTTCAAGCCTCCCTGTCGAGGACACACTGATAGGAATAGAGGTGGGGTGAGGAGAATAGCAAGCAAGATAATGCCATGTATGATGTGTTAGCTGATTCTAAGCGCTAAGGAGAGGGAGGATGGGGAAGGTGGGGAGGGGTGGGGGATGGGGGGCTCGCAGTTTTAATGAGCGCTGTGGAGGAGAGCAGGGACGAGGGAGTAAGTGCTGGGCAGGTCTTGGGTGGTGGAGGCAAGGGGTAGCATCCTGGGCAGAGGACAGAGCCCAGTGCAGAGACTCTGTGTGGGTCTGGGCTGCGGCTGCAGGCCGGGGAGTTAGCAGAGTTGACAGCCAGAGCCACCTGATTGAATTTTGCACCACCCACACAGAGATGGAGTCTGATGGACTCCTCTACCTACGTCTTCGAAGCTGACCATGCCCACTCTCCAACCCCACTTGAATTGCAGGGTGACACGGAGGAGGGCGGCTGCCATGCACAGAGCCCCGAGTTTGCTCCAGAGGCCCACACTATCTACAAGGAGTTGCACTTGAACCCAGGGCCCACAGGAGACACCTAGACCAAAAAGACACTGGGGCGGTGAAGGACTTGGTACAATCTGCCGTGTCTCCCCCTTCACCCTAGAGTCTTCAGAGACCGCTCCCAGAGGCAGAGCTGGGACTGGACCCCCCCCTCCCCCCGATCCATCCCATGAGACAGTGAAGTGGCACGAGCAGCTCCCCTGGGAAGACACAGCTGTTGGGATGGAGTCCCCTTCATAATTCACCTTGACACTTAATCCTTAAGGCACAGTGTTAAGGCATGTGGTGCTTGGTAGGGGATTGAGTCACGAGGATCACGGCCTCATGAGTGGGGTCCGGTTCCCTTATAAAAGTTCACCTCTTTCTGCCTGTCCACCTTCTGCTGGGTGAGGACACAGACTTTGCACTCTCTAGAGGACACTGTGGGAAGGCAGCCTGCGGGCAGCAGACCGCGCCTCTTATCAGACACCAGGTGCTGAACTCCGCTGGTGTCTTGATTGTGGCTTCTCAGCCTTTAGAAATAGGTTTCTGTCTGACCAGTCTGTGGTATTTTGCTATAGCAGTACCAATGGACCGAGAGTGTTCTCGCTTCACTGGTTACGAGCAGACACTGCTACTCGAACGTCCAAGTGTGAGAGGCAGACGCTTAAGAGGTCAGCCACGACTTCTGACCAACTTCGTGCATATTAGGGAGGACGCATGGTCAGGGAGGGCCTTCGGAGAGACAGTCAGGGAGAGAGGTGCTTCCCTGGAGTGTCTGCGAGGAGCCCGCTGCCCACCAGTGGGGAGGAGGTGGCCCTTGAATGTGCAAAAGCAGGAGTCCTGCGGAGACAGGAGCTGGGTTGGCGGAGGGAAGGGAAGGAGATATTTCTCCTGCACCACCGCCCACCAGGCTTCATTCTGAGCATGTGAACGCCCTAGCTCAGGCTTTCACAAAACCTAACTTATTCCAAGACCCTTTTGCTTTTATTACATAACATATTCTACATACAAAAGCAAAAAAGTATATCTTGTTGAAATTGTGATGTTCAATTAATTTGTTGATATAGTTAATAGGTACTTCCTTCAATATATCTTATAATCATTTGGTAACAATAAAAAAATACATATATACCATATATATGAAGCCAAGCCACTAAGTTTCCCTGCTGTTTATAAAGTTTTTTATTTATCTCAATGAATTTCTAGGTAAGTAACCGTATTATCAACAAATGATTAAAACTTCTGCTTCTTTCCAATCATTGTGCCTCATTCTTTCCTCTAGCATAATGGCATTACTTAATACCCTCCAAACCAAATAAATGACAGTGACGAGAAAATATGTCCTGCTTTGTTGTTAATTTTAATATAAATGGTTTCCCTTTTAAGTGTGATTCTGGGAGATCAAAGACTATATATATATATATATATACATACATATATATATATATATTACCGTGTTAAGGAAGTATTTACAGCATCCTATTTTATTGCAAGTTTCACCAAAAAGAAAACATCAAATGTTATCATTTTCCTTTCAGTATCTATGAATATATGGTATTGGTTTTCTGTTTCTCATGCATCAATAATCAATAGATTTTCATTGCATTATTGGAACAAGCCCCAGCAGATGTAGCATTCTTTTGATTAGCAACTGTTTGAAAATACTTTTATTTGGGGCTTTTGCATAATTAATTATTTATAAATAAAATTCTCCTGTAGCTTCTTTTTTTAAAAGATTTTTAAATTTCTTTAAGAGGTAGAGTTACAGACAGAGGGAGAGTCAGAATGGTCTTCCATCTGCTGGTTCACTCCCCAAATGGCCACAGTGGCCAGAGCTGAGCAAATCTGAAGCGGCCAGGAGCCAGGAGCTTCTTCTGGGTCTCCTATGCAAGTGCAGGGGCCCAAGCACTTGGGCCATCTTCCACTGCTTTCCCAGGCAACAAGAAGAGAGCTGGATTGGAAAAGGAGCAGCCAGGATGTGAACAGGGATTGCTGGCACCACAGGTAGAGGCTTACCCTACTATGCTATACAGCACTGGTCCCTTCCTGTGGGTTCTTATGCTTTGTATTGTCAGTTTAATGCATGCATTATGCTGTTAACGTATGCCCTTTACCTTCACTTCTTATACTAATTGAATTAAAATTTGCTTTATAGTCCAAAAATGGAATATCTTTAGAGAAGAGTTGTCAGGGTTGGCGCTGTGGCATAGTAGACTAAGTCTCTGCCTGTGGTGCTGGTATCCTATACGGGTGCCTGTTCAAGTCTTGGCTGCTCCTCTTCCAACCCAGTCCTCTGCTAATGACCTGAGAAGGCAGTAGAATATGGCCCAAGTACTTGGGTCGCTGCACCCTTCGGGGAGACCCGGAAGAAACTCCTGGCTCCTGGCTTTGGATTAGCCCAGCTGTGGCCATTGTGGTCATTTGTAGAATGAACCAGAGGATGAAAGATCTCTCTCTGTCTCTTCCTCTCTCTGTAACTCTGCTTTGCACATAACTAAATAAACCTTAAAAAAAGAGAAGAGTTGTTATTGCAAGGTGTCCGGCGTAACAAATCTTCCCAGGCAGACGAATCAACTAATTCACAAGCTTTTATTGGGATTCCGCTCCCGGGTGAGGTTCCCGGTCCCAACAGAGCGGGGGGCTGGGAAAATCACACGTCAGAGATTGGGAGAGATCCTTTTATAGATTCAGGGTGTGGGGGTTAAAGGTTGAGGCTGGTCTGATCCTCATTGGCTGACCTTTAGGCACCCGTGGGGACCTTGACAAGGACTCTCCATTCCTGGAAGTATAGGCCTTCCCTCCTTGCGGATCCCAAAGCTACCAGTTATTACCCAGTATTGATTTAAATTATTTTATTATGCCCCTTAAATTTATTAAAATATAATACGATGTATAAGTATCTTATGCATGTTATAAACCAAAAAGTGTATGTGAAATAAATAAAAAATGGTAAAACAATGAAGCAATGGTTGTTCAAATTAATTTTCTGTAATTTAAATTTTTAATTTTAAAATTATTTATTTATTTATTTTGTTGGGCCTGAGCGAGTGCAAACAGAGGAGCACCACACATTGACAAAATCTGATGGTCTTTTATCACTGGTGGTGGAGAGTGGGCTTATGGTCTAAAGAACTCAAGACTCTGAAGCTCAGAGCAAAAAGGTTTATAAAGGCAAAAACCACAAGGAGGGGAAGGGGGAATACATGGTTGCTAGGATCGGGGAGGAATACATGCTTATTAAGGTCAAGCTGAACTAAGTCACAATCTTGACAATGGAAAAACTACATTGTAACATTTGTGCAGGCACAGCCTCTCTGTTTTAAGCTTGAGTGGTCATGCTAGGGAGCTTCCATGTTCTGCCAAATGGGATACAGTGTTATGCTATTGTCTGAGTTTTAGACCATAGTTAGTTTCAGACCAGAGTCTCATGGTGGGGTGCTTTCTCAAGATGGCCTCTTGGGTGCTCTAAAATGGAGTCCCTCTTGTCAGAGTGCCACTTCAATTTGAAAGGTGGAGAGACAGAGACCCAGCTCCTCATCCTCTGGGTACCCGGCCCAGGCAGTAGCTAGGAGCCAGGAACTCAATGCAAGTCTCCCAAGGGTGGAAGGGCCCTAATTGCTTGAGTCATCACTGCTGCCTCTCAGGTTGGGGTCCACATTAGCAGGAATTCTCAGTCAGAAGTGGACCCAGGCATTCTAACTAGTGTCTTCACCGCTAGGCAGAATGCCTACCCCAAAGTAATTTTCAAACCTACAAATTCAATGTAATATGTTGGGTGTTTTTGTTTCACGGAAATTAAATCAGTGACAGTGGATTGAAGGACCAAATGCAGAGCTTCACCTCCGATACCATATTTAATTTTTTTTTTTTTTGACAGGCAGAGTGGACAGTGAGAGAGAGAAACAGAGAGAAAGGTCTTCCTTTTGCCGTTGGTTCACCCTCCAATGGCCGCCGCGCTGCAGCCGGTGCACGGCGCTGATCTGAAGGCAGGAACCAGGTGCTTCTCCTGGTCTCCCATGGGGTGCAGGGCCCAAGCACTTGGGCCATCCTCCACTGCACTCCCTGGCCACAGCAGAGGGCTGGCCTGGAAGGGGGGCAACCGGGACAGAATCCAGCGCCCCGACTGGGACTAGAACCCGGTGTGCTGCGCCGCAAGGCGGAGGATTAGCCTAGTGAGCCGCGGCGCCGGCCCTAAAGATAACCTCATTCTTAACAAAACTCTCGCAGATGACAACTGATCTATAAAATAGAAAAAAGTAACACCACAGCATTATTGAAATTGTCACTCAATGTGTCTCTATCTACTTATTATTGTAATCATGGAACCAAAGAGTTCTCCCTTGGGTGTTTGCTATCATCATGGTGTTCACTGCACTAAGGCCAGTGAACCTTGTGGGCTTCTGCACAGATACAACCCTGTCTCTAGGCTGGAAGGTTAGATATGCCCCTGGCAGCTTCCGAGCAGAGACTGGGCTTGGGCACACCTGTCTGCGAGGTGCTGTGGGGCAGAAATGGGCCAATTCACTGAGTGAACAAGTCATTGAAATTATCGAAGCTATCCATTACAGAAACTTCTTTAGACTGTATACAGCCTAAAATACAGAGGCAGAATGGTTGAAACAATGGTCTTTGAAGATTTGTTCACTTTAGTTGGCAGGTATTCGTTGTTCTTCTGAAGAGCACCTTAAACAGTGTTCTCCTCTCTGCTCATCTCCCTTTTACTAGAAAGAGCAGTCAGTTCCTGAGGGGTCTGAATTGCAGGTTCCTGAGAGAGGGAGGCTGAGGGGCAGAGGGATGAGGAGACTGACAGGCAGAGACTGGGCCAGAGAGGGAGCCTGAAGCCAGAACCCAGGAGTCATCACTGACTGAGGTTCTCACAGGACCTACTGACAAATCTGATTCAAGTAACTATAAATATTATCAATAGTTGACAGAATAAATGTGAATTTAGCAAATTGGTGATTCTGTGATTTGCTTATTTTAAAAATGGATTCTTGAAGATTCCAAAATGATGGGATAGAGAAGGAGCTTACTACTCTAGTCTAGGAGAAGATAGTTAAAAAAAAGTTGAGCAAGTGCAATCTCAGGGAAGAGTTAGGGAGAAAACTGCAGTGGAAACTCCACGGAAGTTAGAGGGACATTGTGGATCTACGTGAAAGGTGTGGATGTGCAGCATAAACACGGACACAACACAGGACCCCAGCAGCCAAGAGCCTCAGCACCAGCTTTGGAGAGTGAAGTGAGACCAGACTGCAGCAGTCCAAGCCACTGGTGATAAAGCTGAGAGGACACACCTGAGTCTGGCTGGGAGGACTGAAAGGGGCTGGGTGCTCTTGTAGGACTGTGAGGTGTCCCAGCCTCCCAGCACATCACAAGCTCTGGGGCTTAGGCTGTGTGGGTGGAATACCTAGAGGCAGCTGGCTCTGGGAGCCTCTCTGCCTCTCTGTGGATGGGATGGACTGGCAGGGCAGAGTGGATTCTTGGCATTCCATGACTGTGGGAGCCTTGTGTGTTGGGAATGTGGGAACACGGAGTGTGTGGGAGGCAGGCACTATGGGCGGCTCCACATGCACGGAGCTCCCTGATTGCCTTGGCTGGGCCATTGCTGTGGGATCTGTGCTCACACTGAGGCCTGCATGGATCCTTTGTGTAGCTCTTGTGGCAGCGTGGTTGAATATTGTGCCCACTGGGGCTAGCACCTGGGCATTGGTTGCCTTGGAGAAGAGAAGGAGGGAGTGAGACTATGACAAAAGAGCTGATCAAACTCTCTCCTCTGATAAAAAAAAGAGATCTACCATGCCCAACTTGGGTGTCACCTTGGACACTCCTCTCACTCTGGAGCACTGAACAGAGCTCCTTGACCAAACCCAGCACATGCCTCTAGGTATTCACTGAAAGAGCAGACACTCCATTAAGCCTCAGAGGGATAGCCCCTCCCCTGAAAGTGTGCTCAGTCTCAGGCTGCCCTGCCCCACAAAACAGCAGCAGTCCCCATCTGTCTCCCACAGAATGGTGCAGAAATTTTCATTTTTCACTATTATAGCCTGCATAAGTTCCAACATAGGTGTTCCTGTAGGCATGGAAACAGAGAATGGATTAGAAGGCTTTTTAAAAAGTGAAATAGTTACAGAAAACTTCCCCAATTTGGAGAAAGAGAGATCAAAGACAGGAAGCACACAGAACTCCTAACAGACATGACCAGAAAAGATCTTCACCATGACACATTGTAGTCAAACTTTCCACAGTAAACATAAAGAAAAGATTTAAAAATGTGAACAAGACTAATGTCAGATTACTTTCAGATCTCCAATTAGACTCACAGTGGACTGCTCATCAGAAACCCTGCAGGCTAGAGAGTATGTCGAGATACAGCCCAGGAGGGTTCTTCTAAAGCAGAAACAGAGACCCCTGAATGTACTGCCAGGAGAGAGCTCTGGCAGTAACTGTAGACAGTATTGGGCCCAAGAGAGCCCCTCGTGCTGGCACATGGGAGCTCCCCAGCAGAAAAGTCAGCCCCCTCTCCTCCAACAGCAGATATTTATTATTTGAAAGGGAGAGAGAGAGCGAGAGCGAGAGCGAGAGAGAGAGAGAGAGATCTTCCATCTGCTGGTTCAATCCCTAAAAGGCCACAACGGCCAGTGCTGTGCCTATCCGAAGCCAGGAGCCAGGAGCTTCTTCCAGGTCTCCCATACAGGTGCAAGGGTCCAAGCACTTGGGCCATCTTCTTCTGCTTTCCCAGGCACATTAGCAGGGAGCAGGATTGGAAGTAGAGCAGCCGGGACATGAACTGGCACCCATATGGGATGCTGGTGCTACAGCTGGAGGTTTTACTTGCTATGCCTATGTGCTGGCCCTGAGCACAACAGTTTTTAACTACAAGAAGACAACCTGGGTTCAGCAGTCAGGGGAGAGAAGATGAGGAAGGAGCGATTGCAACCAGCAGAGCTGAGCAGCAGTGGGGACTGGGGTAGCATGAATGAGTTAAATCCCCTTTGAGTAGCAGGAAGTCATTAGGTGACATCTGTGTTTGAAAACCCCAGAAAGAGCTTTCTAAATGTTACCGAGGGACCCAGAAGTTACCACAGAAAACGAAAAGCAGAAATACTAACAGAAGTGGTTGCCTCTGGGGAGAGAAATGGAGACTAGCAGGGGCCTGAGACCTTTCAGCACATTTTAAAAGGCACACATATGCATGACTTTGGTGAGATAGTGTAGCTATAATGTATATTCCATATGTGTGATCCCACATTTGTACGTATCAGAGAAGCAGAAAGCAGCACCTGCTGACTGCACGTAGGGTTCACTTGGCAGTCTTCTAAAAGAGCCACTTCTGATTCAGTTGACTAGGGGAACCTGGACTCTGCATTCCTTGCAAGGACCTGGGTTATGGCCAGTGCCCCTGGTCTGAGGGCCACACTTTAAGTGAAACGCTGTGAATGATTCCAAATGCCAGGCTGAGGCATCGGAAATGAATTCTACGGACCCTGAAGCTCTTGGTAATGGGTGAGGCAGGATCAGAGCACTAGAGCCTCTTGGGAGACTCTTGAGCCACAGGGGCCAGTGGGAGACATTGCACTAATCCAGGCCACAGACAAGGGCCTGGGCTGGGCTGGGATGGAGGTGAGGGGGTGGAGAGAGAGGCGACTGCCTAATTTGTGAGGAGCCTACAGGATCACCAATGGTTGAGAATGCAGAGCTGGAGTTCAGAAGAGGCAGAAATTAGTGGGAGATGTGACCCAAAGTGCAGAATCATCCATCACTAACACACACACACACACACACACACAGCCCTGCCACAGGAAATGTCCCTGTCATGGACTCCAGCTGTCCTCTCCATTCCCTCACCCTCACCTGACGTTTCTACAAATCCATGGCCTGGGGTTGACTGGCAAGAGCAGAGTCCTGAGACAGACCTCATTTTCCAGGCTTACAACTTCACATCACATCCACA